CATTTTAAGCTAGATCCAAATCTCTTACAAGTATTTATGCACCAATGCATCATAGCACTTGCAAGACATTCATAATGATTACATGGGGCCAGTGCCTCATCAATGTCAAAATTTCACATCTTTCAAGTCATAAATATATGTGTATATATATATATATATATGAAAACAGAGCACTTTAGAGGATAAGAACTAAAATCTATCATAGGTGCTTTGAATTGGTCATTCTCACAGAAACTATATATGCAGTTAAACAAAAATCATAATTCCTCACCAGCAAGACCTTTTCAAGAAGTACCATGAAAAACTCATTGACATTGACAAGGATCTATAATTTTAACTCCAAGGATACAAAAGGCCTTTAGATGATTGCATAAGTAAGAATGTCCTAGTACCCACTCCCCTTCCATCACAGCCAGCCATAAAAAGGAAGAATAAAAATAGAGAGAGAGAGAGAGAGGAAGAAAATAAGGAAAAGCAAAATTCATTCTCCAAATGTAATTAAAATCTTCCAGAAATTTCTGCTGATCACTAATTGTCACTTAAGTGAACTAGTATCATTGTTAATTCTGCTCAAAAAATCAAAGCAAATTATGGTTTAATCGCCAATTTCTTGCCAACCGAAATGGACAACTTCCAAAAATTTATAGAAAACACATCAGAAACATTATCAAGATACTGAAAACTACATGGTGGAATATAGGTGCTCCACGAAAACATGGACTCAAGGTAATTACCAGCAGCATCATGAGAGATTCCTCACCACTATATTTGGAATAAGAAAAGTAAACTGATCCGATTATTCATATAATTCATCCTATCTTGGAATCTATTGCATTTCAGTAGACTTCCTTTTCGTTTAATTTTTTGTGCCCAAAAACACAATTCATAAAAAAATAAATAAAAAAAATAACACTATCGCACTAACTGTCAAAGTTGCCACTGTTAAAAAGGAGTTGTAAACGGTGTTAGGGGAGGGAGGTAAATGTACTGGAAAGTTAAAGTAGAGGGAAGACTTTGAAAGACTTGTAAGTATAGAGAGGAAAATGAACAAAAATTGAAAGTAAAGGGACTATAGTTGGCTTTAACCCACTAGTATACAAAATGATTGCACTGAATGCACTTTGTCTGTAGTGTCATCACATGTGCCCCCCCACAAGTCCCTAAATGATGATGAAACTAGAGATAAAAAAGGATAATGAGAGGGAGATACCAAGTTCCAGCAGCTAGGCTAGACGTATGCTTGGAAGAAAACATGGCTCTTTTTGTAGTTAGGAATTATTGTTTTCACATCCAACATATTTTTGTTCTTTCAAGATGATGAGTTCTAGTTATTTATTATGTAAAATTATCCCTGAATATTCTGGGATTTGATCCATGAAAGCATGGAGTGATAGTTTGTAGGATACACACAGAAAAATGAATCAACATTCAGATACAGGGTGTCCCAAGCGATGAAAAAAATCATTCAAGTTTTTCCCATGATGGTTGAGCTGTTCTTATTATCACTTAGCACTTCTAATCATCTCAGTCAAATCAAGTAACTGCTTTGGCCTAACAAAACAACGGAATGCACCTATGAAATGAAATGAAGCGTGTATTTTTTGTTCTCATCATTCTATCACAAATTAAACTAGCTCCATTATAAAACCGATCGAAAATTTTTGTAACCTCCAGAGAGTGCCACGTGGTTATTTTCTACTAAGAATATTTATTTTTTTTTTCAAAAAATAATACATTTGATCTATTCATAATTTCATAACCCTAATATAGGAGTTAGATAATAAATTTGATACTAAAATATTATGCATGATATAATTATTAAAAAATTATAGACCAACTATATATGTACTCATTAGTATTATCTATTATCTGATTTCTATGCATTTATCAACATTGTAGCCAAAAGAATATCCTACAATTGTATGATAGATCCAAATCAACCTCTTCCTTGACATTATAGATTGGTACCAAAGCCAATGACAAAGATGGAAATGCTTTTGTTTTCTTGACAAAGAGTAGGAGTGTTATATTAGTCAATTGATGCAGTGATATTAATTTAGGGATGTCAACGGGGCCCCGCGGGGTCGGGGAGTCCCTCCCTGTCCCCGTCCCCGCGAATGGCGGGGACGGGGATCCCTACGGGGATTTTTGACGGGGGCAAGATTTTGCCCCCTATCCCCGTTCCCCATCAATTAATATTAAATTATACATTTTTTTGTCTTTTACATATAATTAATTAATATTCAATTATAATGAATAAAATTTTAAAAATTCAAATATAATTAACTAAAATTTTTAAATATAAATT